GCATCTGAGGTGGATGAGCTCGTGAATAAGTTGTACCACGGAGGGAAGTCTTAGGTTGTATTTATGTGTGTGTGTGTGTGTGTGTGAGAGAGAGAGAGAGAGGGAGAGAGAGAGAGATAGAGGCACGAAGGTGTTTGGTAAGTCAGGCCAAGCTACAGTTTCTTAGACGAGGAGACAGGGCTACACCAGGCAGGAGGGTGGGGACGACTTGAGTAATAAAAGGCACGTTCTCGTTCGCAAGAGCAGCGGACAAATTCAGGTAGATCACACAGCAGCACAGTCTCACGCCATTCACAGAACGGCCAAACAGATAAACGCGTCAACTTGGCCACGGATCCGGCAGCAATATACATAAATAAATGTAAAAGAAAAGAGATGAGAGTGATCGGGGTACAGCGGTTGGATGACTTGGAGGGCCTAACATTTTCGGCTGGTAGGACCGTGATGGACAGGTCGGTCTGCAGAGGCATACAGTTCCGCCCGAATCGGGGTGTGAAACGGATTAACAGGGGCGTAAGCCCGAGCATAGCACAGGACAACGAATGTACCGTGAGCTTGCATCATCGCGACGTTGTGCTGGATGCCGTGATGGTCGGGCCGAGCATTAGGAGCATTGGGATTTTGAGAGACGATCAGAGAGGAAAAGCATTTCCGGATCGTCCTTATGCAGACTATGATACACGCATTCATGGCATTTGTGAAAAGATTAAAAAAACATGAAGGCAGAGATGGTATGATCGCAATGTTGATGACTGTCCCTGTTCGTAGGTTAGAAGTAGGTCTACCTGAAATTCACAATTCGGTCGTGTTGTCACAACCCAGCAAGATTAACATAACAACTATTTGGTGAGTTGTAGTTTGGCGCCAAGACTAACAAGACGTACTGACGACGCCTGCTACGATGCCGGCGAAACGTATGGGAAGATACCAAGCCCACAGCCAGATATTGGAAATTAACATGACAACTAGGTCGCCCTGAAAACACGATTAATTTGTGAAGATGAGGTGGTACCACCTTCAAGAAAGCTTTATTTGAACACAGATCTGAAGACCTAGTTAACCGAGGGGAGACTGATGAAAAGTAAGACAGCTTTCGAAAAAAATGGAAAATTCCCTTAAGTATAGGTAGGAAAATTATTTTCAATTTTTGTTTGTTAGGATTTAAAAGAGTAGTAGTTGAATTTTTCGACAACGACAAGAATATTAAATTTCACCTTTCTCTGCTCGCAAAAAGATATTCTCATTCCGGCTGGACTGGATTGCAGTCTCGACCTCGACTGAACCAGTCTCATTAGCACCCTCAGCCGGAATCGAATTCGGCTTGTGGTAGGGCAGAGTGTAATCTCGACATGTTGCCATTTGTCTGAGGTGCTAAGAGTGCCCATCGATGAGAGAGTAGACGTAAATGTTGAGCTTACGTGCATCATTTCGAGGGAAAGTGTTGGGTGAAGAAATGCAAAGTTCGATTCCGCCAGAAGACGACGGCGGATTCCTCTTGACCAGCTGTCGATTGGCTTTACTGTAAACAGTCATGGTTACGTTGTCTCCGAGGTGATCTCCTTCGATTCCGGTGAAAATGAGATTGATTCGGAAACAGCGTCAGGATGAATGTTCCAGTACAGCCAATCGACAGCTGGTCAGGCGGAATCGAACTTGGCATTTCTTCACCAAACACCTTCACTCAAAATGGAAATGGGCTCAACAAATATGAAACAAGACATTCATCGAAACCCAACTTTTATGCGCAGGGTAGACGTAAAGTTCAATTAATGTCAGACCTATCGCAAATCTAACTTCTATTTTGATACATCACTCGAGTGCGTTAATAAATATTCCCTCAAATTAGACTTCTAAATTGTCAGCAAATGTGTTTTAGGTGTGATGAAAACGTGTCGAGTTTGCATGCCACATCATCACAACCAGGATTTGAGTTCCTCTGGTGGGCTGAATAGATTCAGACGGAGTCGAATCTGTAGTCCATCCTGGATGAGAATATCCTTTGGTGGGCAAAGCATCCTGATTGTGGGAAAATGTTCTATTACTCTTTCATCAGCTCATGCGCCATTGGGTGACTGGACCTAATTCTCAAGGCTTACTGACATTTTTAAAGTCGAATTTATTTACAAAAAGAAACCTTGACCGTTGACACAAACGAAACAATCACTGTCCTGCTAGCTGTATCCATCCGTGCTGAGTCTCCGTGTCTTCCCCAAATGCCAGGCATGCCGGTCGTGTACAGCCAATTTTTAGTACAACTCACTTTCCGATCCGGTCAATTGACGAACCACTTTCATCCACTGACGCCTCGGTTGTTTGTAGTCGTCGCGCGACGATAAACCGTGGCTATGACATCAAATCTCATCATAACTCATGCCGGCCATGATTGAGGTGGGCAGACTAAGACGGTTTGGATTGAGTGAGATTGGGCTTTTTGGGGCGAAGTTGAGTTGGGATCAGAAGACACTGACTGTCGTTTAACCGACCGACATTCGGCCCTGGCGGAGGCGACGCTGTGTCTTTGCGTCGTGGAGTCGGCAGCACATGTCGCGCTTCTTTTTAGGTCAGACCTGCTGTTTAGCATGTTTGCAAATTGCACTCTTGGGAATTCACAGGCGAAAACAGGCCTCCGTTCGATGCCGTTAAGGGTTAGATAACCGCAGCCTCTTGGTAATTATTAAGGGTGAGGCAAAGTTGCAACAATCTGCCGACATTATCACCTACTCTCGTCGTCAATGCGACAAGGCATGTGTGACGGATGAGTCACATCTTGCCTACACTCACATTCTCAAGGGGATAGCCTCGAAAACTACTTATATCGAACATAAGTAGCGTCGCCAATACAGGTGACAAACGTATGTTTGGAAGAAGTTGTTTGACTTTGTTTTCGCAACTCGGTCATGTTGGTTGTAAGACTTAGAGAAACACACCTAGTCCGGAGTCCATTGTATGCATCATCATTTCCAGAT